GCTTACGTTACTCCTACTCCTTTTATCTTAATGAAAAATAATTTATCGATACTTTTAAACTATAGTTATGTGTGCAAGGAAGTTTATCGACCGCACCTTTTGACTAATATCACTATTACAATATATGTATTGTGTCGTGTTGCATATTGTTATTTTTTGTCTGCATTTAATTTCACATATGCAGTGACGATTAGTTCAGCCTCTTAAATTCCGCATTAATGCATAAGTTGGGCATATATTATTTGTATAATGTTATATTAGTGAATTTATTGTGTTGTTACGAACAATTGACAGCCTCCATCAATTAAACTGATATTAGTAAATGTCTGAATGTATTTTACATATTTTAAATGATATATATGTTGTTGATTATTTGTAGTACTTTCTTTGTGTGTGCATAAGTTGTGTGTTCGATGGGCAACTTGGGCTTGTCAGATCAATTTTATTCTGTGAATAATACGATGTGGTACTTATACTCTCAGGTAAGTACTAAAGGCAATGTCATATGTAGCCCACTATTTTATCTCGCCTTATACTTAAGGCTTTGTCGCAGTATATAAAAGTTTGTCTAGATGTATCGATATATGATATTATATGTAGGACAGGCTGACGTGAATTTCTGTTGACCTGAGTTTTCCCTTAAAGAAGCACATATAACAGACTCTATTGTTGCACGTTCAAATACCACAGTAAGTAGCGCTCTCAGGGCCGCTGAGGTAGACGTGTTCTATGTTGCTGCATATGTAACATTTGCTTGGGAGATAATTTTGCTTTTAACGTATTTTTTGCATGCTTTACTTGTTTGTGGACTAATATATATTATTATGGTTTATAACGTCAATATGGTAAAATATGATTGATTAAAGTCAACGCAGTGTATTAATATTGTCCATATGATAAACAGATTCTTAATCGATACGTCGGTGTATGTCTTTTGTTTCGGTCGTTTCTTATATCCCACGTACTTCTTCTGTCACTGGAATGTACAGCTGTGGCTGTTGTCGCTGTTCATAATATTTGCCGACCACAGTGGCCAAGGGCAAATGTGGAATATTCTAGACGGATATATGTGACACGTGTGCACATTTAGAAATCAGCTGCCCCATGATATGCTATGTTTCAAAATTGGAGTATTTTGTTCGTTGGTTGGTATTCATGCCGAAACAGTGGTGCTGGAACGGTTTAATTATAAATTTGTTGCAGATTATATAGGTTTGTATAATGGAAAACCGTTTTTGTGCTTCTTTATTTAAAACTTATATGATCGAAAATTACATTTTGTTCTGTGTCTTAATTAGGTTTGTTATTTGCTTAGAGGATTTTTGCATATGAGCAGCTTAACTTCCGTACTTTTAGAATTGGACGATAAGACTGTTCATTTGGTTGGCAGAGCACCACCAATCGCTGCTCCTCTCATTGATGGTCAGGGTCAAAATGTGCATGCCACTGGTGGCATTGGATCAACGGGGACTGTGCATCCTCAACAGGATAGAAGAGAATTGCACCAGCATGGCATATTCGTCGGATCAGTGTCCGTTCCGCGTACGAACCTCAGCACTGACGATATCATTGTGAGTATTGATTTGGCTATATGAAAATTATCATACTGCACATTTTTAATCATTTTCGTTAAATGGTCCTGTGCGGTGTTATGTGGAAGAAAGGTAATTCCACTGGGAAGGCAACTGGCACATGAGTAGCGGAAAATATAAATAAAGTCAACAGTAGACTCTGATAGTAAATGTCAGTGAAAAATAGTTTTGCAGTAGTTTAGCATTGTCAAGCAGGTCGGTTGTTATTCTCAGAAGACGTTAGTTTTTCAGGTGATTTTTTACTAGATGATTGGCCGAAGTCGTGCATCGGAACAGTAAAAATGAGAAAAGAATCATCATCAACCGCAGCATTTGTTCAGAGTGTGGACGGTGGCATGCAAAGACTTTGTCATGCCTTTAAGGATTAATATGGACGATCTTTTTCTTCCTTCATTGACCTTTGGACAAGTTAGCCAACGTTCAGTTTCTGGGCAAACAGATTTCTCTCACAACGGCTGTCAGATATATAGGTCTGTCTAGGAAGACGAAATCCGCTTCGTTACTATAAGATCTTAGCAAGTTCTCTATTGAAAAACGCCATTTCTCTGTTTAAGAAGGTTGGCAGAAGAAGATTAAAGGTATTTTGACAACACCGCTTTAGCCGTGCGCACTAAACCGTCGAATAGAGTTATCCTTTATAGAAGGATGTTGCTTAGCTCACAGCAACCAGAACGCAATGAAAAGTGGACTTGAATGAGGTGCTTTCGTTCTGAATTCCAAGAGAAAATTATGCCTCTGTAATCTCTGTGCCGATTGGAAGGGTTAATATTGACCCTTATTTTTATGCGAAGAGTACCAGAAAGCCCGCAGTGCTTTTAGATTACTATATTACGATCTGATAGTTTCTCCCAAATGACTCTGAAAAAAACTGCCTGCTCTTGACACTTCCTACCACAGAATTAACAACTACTTTCGATATGTGTCTAAGTTTTCAAAGGTTTTCGTTCCTCTTATATACATGAAAGTTTTTGCCATCTACAGATGATGGTTGTCTCTTAAATCGATTATGCAAATACTCGTGGCAGTTGTTTGGAGAGCGTGCTTCACTGTTCTTCATCTGGGCTAATAATTAACACCATGAGACACACTGAATCGAATTTAGTCAACGGATACATGTCCCTACAGAATTGACAGTTTCTCATTATAAACTCTTCGTCATATGCTAAAATGTTATATGTTTATTTTTTAGGCTTGCTTGCGTAGAGCGCTGAACAGAATCGGTGGAATCGGACAGAACGCTCAAATCACGTCGTCTGAGGCGGTAGGACATTTTCAGTATTTTTCTGCTTATTTCATTTACACTGACACAATGTAATTAAAATGGTGATTTATATAAATGAAACAGTGTTTATTCGTTTTTATAGTTAGTGGGAATGATGCATGTTGTTTGAACGCGGTTGGGGAATATTCGAGAGATTTTTCAAGCCAATTAGAAAAGTATGCTTCTGATGTATTTCTCATTGTGCAGAGTAAGCAGCGGCTGGCAGCTGGACTACTGTCAACAAGATTGTGGACCATGTGAGATTCACAATCACGACTTAACCTGAAAATTAGTTTCGTATTGATTTTACTGTAACGCAGGTGTTTTGATTTTTTTCTTAATGATGATATACCTTTCTGTTAAATGTAGCATTGTCTAGATTTTATACCGCGAATCGAGAACAAATGGCGAAATTTTGAAATTTATATGGGTAGCAGCTACGCTGTAAACTGTCCAGCAATTTTTTAATAGGCATTGCGGCAGATGTCGTTTTGTCACGTATTGCCATTAGATTTGTCTCTGTTCAGCGCTGAATTAAGTAACATGCCATCTAAATGGGAACGTGGAAGAAAAGTGGATTACCATGTGGCAGAAGATTCAGCCAGTTCAATCTGAAATTATAGTTTGACCATGTTCGACGTGCACTGTTAAAGCGTTACAGATCAGCAGAAACACATGCGCAAGTAATTCATGTTCTATGACGGGTAAAATCCACAGATTTACATACGATGAATGCGTTCCTGATTTAATTTCTGGTGATTGTTACCTATTTCATTTTGTCGAGTGTATTTTTCGTCCTCTCCTGGCACTTCTGAACCTGCCAGAGTGTTAAAGCTCAGTTGAACGCGTTGTCACCGTCCTCTCACGATAATACAGTGAAAGTATGACGGATCTATGATAAACTCGAATTAATTTATAGAGTAGCTCAATTTCTGTAATGTAATTGGACTGGGGACTTATTATTCTGTGCATCTGGTACTAATTCCAATTTGCCCGTCCCACGCCCAGATGAGAAACTGGGGCTGGGAACCGTGGCGGGTTTTGCATTAAAATGTAGTCACTTGTGTCTCACAGAATTGCTGTTATTGAAAATCGCACCGGCTTGGTTGTCACCGGTTTTACCAAGGATTTTGCAGTTCTGAATTTTTTCAACTGTGAAAATCTCGCCTCGAATTAACTTTGGCAGTGACAGCGATGAATTTTCAGATATTGTTAATTTGCGATGGGGAAGAACAAAGATTTGGATCAATCTTGCAAATCCACAGAAAGTAGCCAAATGACTCGTCTCACCTTTGAACTTACTCTACGTGGACACTTGTGCTTTGCCGCATTTAATGCAGATCAACGTTCGACTGCAGCTAGTTCACGTGGTTCTCTGTTTAAAGGTTTTAACTCTACTTCACAATGCTTTATATAGCTGTGCTGGAAGGATTTAAGTTTACTGTTGTTATCGACTGCTTGAAAAGACAAGGTGGAATCTTTTTGAAATGTTGGGTACCCTCACAATTTGGATAGGACGTTACAGCTCATGCATTGGGTCAGCTATAACATTCATACAACGGTATATAGCTGAAGATTGGCTATTGAAGGATTATATTTACTTCCTTATTTATCAGGAAGGGGGGGGGCAGGGTCGAGAGGGGGCAATATTGCCTATTTTCTGCGTTTCTGACACGCTAAGTTGTCCGTACTCTTTGTACGAATTCTGTTTCATTTCAGCTCGATTCTTTACGTTTAAAATATGAAATTTGCTGCACCAACGAAACGGTTCAGCTAGCTTGAGACTGATAAATAGGTCATTTAAACCCTGTGCATAATGACAAACTGCTGTGGAGAAGCAAAGGGCTGTGCCAATTTAACGAAATTTTTCTCTCTGACCGTTCATGATTATCATATTTCTTCAGAGTAGCTACATTTATGCTTTACAGTATCACTTCATTTTTAACCATTTTTAAATTAGAAAAATGTGCTATTTATTCACGATTATATTGAGTTGTAAAAGTGGGTTATTTTGCTTTAAAATATGTGGACATTTTATAAAGCATTTTTAAATGACTTATTCTTTAGCAAAATGGCGAGATCGTTGAAGTGCACGTCAGACTAAGTGGCGAAAATTCGATTGCGATGGATAGCCCTTCCAGATCTAGATTGAATTACGTGAAAGATATTTTACGCCACGTTAACAACATGCTTCAGAATTTGGAGGTAAATCTCTGAGCGTACTTTTACTTCGCTTGTATTTTTGCTGCCTTTTAGGAAACTGAATTTTAAAAAGTGCTCTTGCTGTTGCTATATTGTAGTTAAGCTCTTAGACAATACTTTTTCTCTGCTCTTTCAAGCTGTTTTCTGTTAAATCTTTTATTATCTTTTCATTCAAGCAGTTCAATGTTTTTCTTGGTTTTTCGAATACACCTTGAAGCTAAACGTCATTTACAATATTCTTCAAAGATTTGTCGTTGCGTTCGTTTCGTTATTCCGACTTCGTTTATTTTTTGCGGAGTGCTGTTTAAAACTAATTTTTCGATAATCTTTCAAAGCATGGTCTTTATTCTCGAGATATAGGATTACCAATCTATTTTTTTGCTGTTAGTGGTCATACAGCGAAGTCACTCTGCCTCTTAGGCGACAATTGACAAGTTGCTCCTCAGTACCAGGTTTCGGGGTGTATTGCACCACCTCTTGTTGGTAGTTGCATATCCGGGGAGAGGGGGAGGGGGCAGTTAAACATGTCACAGTTTTGTGATGTTTTAACGTCCTCAGGCATACTACCGACTTATGGTGTTAATGTTGTAGTGTATAAAGAGTACAAGCTCCTGAGACATTGCACATGATAAGCGCATGGTGGTTTTAGCTAAGAAAATGATTTGAGATTCATGTGACAGTTCAGGTGCTTAAATAACATGAAGCCCTGGCTTGCTTAAATGGCCGCCCATAGGCAACTTTGAGTAAGATGGCGGTGCAGTACGCCATAATACTGGAGTAGTCGTTCGTTTTTTGACGTATCAGAGCGGACAAACAGCATGGTGTATTGCGTAAACATTAAATCTTGATTTTATTATATATGTTATACATTCATTATATGGCTTGAGATTACGGGAGTGAGGGGCTGAAAAAACCTAACTAATCTCTTTTGATTAAGCTTTGCCTGACCGTGAACTTGAAGAAAATGGGAAAAAGTTTTTCCTCATCGAGGATTCGAAATGGAAATTTAAATCACTGGACACTAGATTTAGTTTGTCAACAGATGACTGTATAATTATTCTGTAACTGCGTCTTCTAGAAATAACGCGCCCACACTCCATTTCTGGATGAAGACTTCAGCATAGACCTCTGTTTTGACCCATCTCTTTGTCCAGCGGTTTTTAAGCTCATTTGGCCATCCATCTGGAGGTTTTTCTTTGAGCCACCCAGTCTCTTTTGGAAGCCTCTCTTACACTTCTTTGCTTTGTTAGTCCAGCGATCACTGGTTCTTCTAGCAACATATCTTGCCCATGTCGGCTGTACCTTCTTTGCAGTATAACGCTTTATCCTGTTCATTCGTTCGTCTTCCTGTCTTGTCTTGTTATTCAAAACCATATATCTTTTATCTGTATGCTAATATCCCCTTTTCGTGTTGCGTAGTAGCCTACAGTTTAGGACTAGCTTTTAGGCATAGGATCAACTTAGGTCAGTTTTAGGTCGGCACTTGGAAAACACTGATTGAATACTTTCCGCTTCAATCACAGGGTCAGTTTTTCGGATAGGAATATTTCAGGACTTCTTCAAGTGCTTTATGCCATTTTTATTCTTCCGTTGATTTCGCACTGTTGATTCTCTGCTGCAGGGTTGATCGGCCTCAGAGAGGCGTCGTTGTGCTCCGTTTGAAACTTCAGTTCATTTACTTCAGAATGTGTCAGGGTCACGTGTGTGTTGCACATGACCTTATTCTTCTTCGTGTTTATTTGTACTCTAACTTCAATTGTGGGATGGTTCAGCTGTTGGATTCTTGTTTGAAGTTCTTCTGATACCCTTGAGAAATTCACAGTTTTATCCATGAACCGCGGGCTGCTTAACTGATGCTTTTTTATATTCAGCCCCTGATCTTCCAAACGCAGTGTCTAAATAAACTGTTATATGAAACTTCTGTGAATAGCTTCAATGATAGTGATAGTGCCTCTGTCTGTCGAACGCCGTTTTCTACTTTGAACTTGTCTCTATTTTAGCGAAGCGTCACTCTAGCAATCGCATTCTTTTAAATTATGTCGATGACATCTTTGTATCCTTTGTCGATTCGGTGCTCCTCGAGCAATGCAGCGTAAGACGAATGTAAACTGAATCGAAAGTCTGCTGAGCTTGACGAATTCCAGGAAGAAAGGAAGCAAATATTCGTTGCTTCTTTGATTTCTTGTTCTACTTGTTGATGGAGATGATCCATCCTATGAAATCTATTTCTGAATCCTGTCTTCTCCATTTTGTGTGCAGCGTAGAGTTTTTCTTTAAGCCTGTTCGTGAAGATCTTTTAGATGATTAATGACAAGCTGATCAGTCTGTATTTCTTCAAATTCTCTGTCTCAGCTTTTGTTTAGTAGAACTGCATGTGCTTAATGTAATTACTCTTTCTTTCAG